TTCCAGGGGCTCCCTTTGCAACAGGAGCCAAGCCAGGAAGGCGGGAGAGGAAGAGACTTTCATTTGGGTGGATTGGTTTGTTATTTCTTTCTTTCTTTACTTATTTTCTTTACTATTTTTTGGGGGGTGAGGTGGGGGAGCGGGAAGACTAGTCAATCAGAAGAATCATTTTCRTTTAAAGGCATCACTATTCCTAGTAGGTTCTTTTCTTCATTGCCCAAAGGTTCCTTCAGCTCCATGAGACTGGCCAGAAGGACTTCATCAAGCAGTATCCAAGTCTTAAGGTACAGTGACTGCAATGCCTTGTTACAGTATGTGACTGAATCCACTAAGAGCCAAGCAGAGCAACCACATCCAAAGACAGTGCAAATTTTGAAGAACCCATGGCAGCAACAACTGCAAAAACCCCTGCTCTCTTCACCATCTCTTGTTTTGTTACCACATGATCCCTCAGCTGTTCAAAGAGCTATGTCATAAACCAAATTATCCAAGAACAAATGAGAGGGAAGGCAGTGAACTACTAGCCTCTTCATATAAATCAAGACATCTTTTAGAAATATATTTTTGTGTGCTTCTCCTGTGTAGGAAGCCCATGGGACAGGCAAGAGCCGTTAGCTGTTACTGCACGAGCCTCCACTCTCAGGCTACTTCCAGGCTCTGCCTTAGCAAGCAGTTAGAACCAGCAGACCTCAAGCCTGTCGCATACTTCTTAAAGCAAAACACAGAAGTCAAAGGAAACCCAAGATCAGGGCAGTAACACCAAGATATTTGGGTCCGCACTCAAGGAACAGCAGTACTTCATGTCCGGAGTGCAGCACCAACAAAAACCTACCAAGTAAACAAAATATCTCTGCATCTACCTAACTTTAACAGGTTTATTAACCTTTTATTTTTGATCTGGACAATCCGTAAGTCCCAGTAGGCTGCTTTTTGGTTGGTGGTCGTTTGCTTTTTCCCTCCCACACACGCTCACCACAGCGAGTTTCCCTCCAAGCCCACAGCAGGCGGCAGCACCAGGCGAAGCTGCGAGCGCATGAGGCGAGCGCCAACGCTGACGCTCCCCAACACAAACACACCTCCAACCGCCAGCTTAAAAACCAGCTTGCCAAGAACACCTCAAGACAGAGATAGTGTCTCAGCAACAAGTGCTGCACAGCTCCTGCAATGTGGCCTAAAAGCACTGCGAATTCAAGAACCTGTCTGAAACCTGAAGGAAACCAAGGCCATTTCTTTCACTTYGTAATTTACCTAGACCAAGAATTCTGCACCCAGGAATACGGAGCCCAGGACAAGCAGCTACACTGAGCAGCTACAAGTGCATGACCCTCTGCAGCAGCACAACTTTACCAGAAACAGGCAGTCTAGAAAGTTAAAGACACTCTCCTGCGTAAGTGACCAGTGTTGAATTCAACACCTTGACTCACGAGGACAGAGTACACCCAGTGTCTCCCATTTCCCAGCTGAACCCCTGAACCAACAGCTAATGACAACGGCAACCTGCTCCCGATGTCCCCTTTTGGGGCACCAGGGCTCAGTTTTTGGAAGACACCTAAGCACAGAAGCAATGTCGAGCCCGTCCAGGTGCCTGAGGACAGCTTTGCTTAAGAAGCAGCATTTCAAATACCCATCACCCACATACCCTGTCATCACTAGGTAACTCGCCATGCAGCCCAATTTTCTCCTGGACCATCCACTSGGACAAACTCATCTAACATTCTGTACATTAAAATGAGGTTTTGGGGGGGGATATTGCACCCGCACCCCACTTTAGGGACCAAAAGCCTAAGTTTAGATGCCACAACAGTCAAATCCCTCAGAGTCTGCTACACTTACTTGTACCTGCGAAACAGAGCCTGTTAGATTATCATAACATTTCAATATCAGAGCCACAACATCCATGYTTCCTGGGAAAAATATATCGCAAATTCTCATTATAAATCTCATTATTAAAAAAATATATATATCCTTATTCTTTTATGTCACTGAAAGCGTATTTTTTCATTGTTATTTGCATTAAGTCAGGAATGCCAGGGATTTTACACTGGCTACAAAACAACAGTAAAATCTGTAGATGTACACCCAGTTTAAAAAAAAAAAAAGTCAGGCCTGGACTTCCTGCACTTGAAAACTGTCTAAACATCTTCAGCCCTGTCTTAATTCTGATATCCCTCTGGGAAATTTCTCTCTAGGGAAGGAATAGTAGGGAAAAATACATTCCCTGAGGCTAGTTGCCTCAAGTCAGTTAGGGCAGTGACTCAAGTCAGTGAGTGATGTGACGCCTGCAGGAATTGCACCACGTGGGCACCGGAGCACGAGCTGCGGGACGACAACGGGGAGCRAGCCCGGGCAGATGGGCCTGAGAGTAACCCGCTGCAGGAGGACACTCACCTACACAGCTCAGCTCACTTAATTATCAACACCAAAATCTGACAAGTTTGGCTCCAAATTAGATTAAGACCATGCTAACTGATTTGAACTGATAAGGAAAATATTTTGCAGGATTTGTTTCCTGGCAGCATCTATCTAGCATCTACCCATCAAAGCACAGATTAACTTGGATTTTTCCCTCCAAGTTAAATATAAAGCAAAAAGTCTTTGGTTACTATTGCCGTGTAGCTTCACAATCACTAAATGGATATGAGGATTTAAGTCCTTTCTCAAACTAACATCTTCTGCACCACTCACACTCTATGGCACTGACAGTAAGAAAGAAACTCAAGTTGTGGGGAGCTTAAAACACCCAACTATTTTAGGGATTTGCCACAGGCTTTAGAAATGGAAATACCTGACCCGGCTAACTATTGGTAAGCTAAGAATTATTTAACATTTTTAAAAATTAAACTAATACCTCCAAAATCTGCCATTTTAAGTAAAGAAGCATCTGTTGTGACAAAGTCACCCTGCGTTAGCTCAGCTACCACAGATACTGTCCTGTCGGACAATGATAATGGAAATTTCCTGACCATTAAAGCAGAAATYACAAGTCGTTCAGAACGCTGGTTTTGCTCTTGCTGCTGCTACTTGCTGCCTGATGAAAGAGAACCCGAAAATCATTTCCCATCCTCCAAATATCTCTTACTGTTTTTCAGAGGCGTGGGACTACACTCTGAGCAAGGCCAGGAAAGTTATAYAGGAAGAGTTGCATCAGATAAATTGTTTCTGGCTAATAAAATCATGTTCCCAGTTGATATGCTAGTTAGGAAACCAGGACAAGCCTACCAATCCTGGGCAGGATTTGTGCCTTCCCTTGCTCTGGAAGCATTGTCCCCCAGTCTTCTAAACACACACGTTTCCCTCCAGTCCTGTCTTTTGCAACACTAGGCATGGAAGACTGGCTAGTAAAATATTCCCAACCGTAGGGAAAAGTCTCTCTTAGGAGAGGCAACTTGTGTCTCTTATTCAGTGGGTGAATTCCAACTATTGCCAGACCTGCAGCTTCCCTCACCTAGCTCTACAGCCAGACTTTTCCACATGCATTTCCAACATGAAGCACAGACCACTAGCTGTTGAGATCTTCTAACCATCTACTCACTTCTCTTTGACTGTAAAAATCTGAAATAAAAGGATAAGAGTTCTATTCTTTTTTGTTGTTGAATGATGCCACACAACATTCTTTGGCACTCAGCTAAATATTTCAGTCTTTCAGGGGATTGCCTAAATTCAGAGGTAAGGAATTTGGATTCAATAGTTCCCATATGGACTCAGTCTTACAAAGCAGAGCAGGTGTCTCAGGCTTTCCCGACCTTAAATTCCATGAGAACTGTCATACATCAGCAACGAGCGGGCACAGAAAGTCAACCTAACCAAGCACCAAGAACTGGAGTTGCTAACAGTGAACAGCACTGAGGAGTAAAGACCTGTACYCACAGCTCTGGGCTGGTTCTAAGTGACCTTCCGATGGGTCTGAGCCAGACACCAGTGCAGAGGTGTGTCTGGCACTCGTCAGACACAGCGTCAGACACACTGACCTGGGTACTGAACCCGGGTCAGTGCTGAAGGAGGCTCTTTCTAGGCTGCAAATTCTCTTCCCTTCTCTCTCTCCCCCCCTCAAAGCTTGGCAGAATTTCAGAAAAATCGGTCCWGTATAGTGCACATCTGAAATCTTTCTTTAGGTTTAGAGTGATCCCCTCTTAGCCTGACTTCATTTCCAAATGCACTTTTTCCTTTGTCACAACTGCTATTACAGATCTCTTTCTGGGACACTCTTTTGTCTCCAAGCCTGTCACTCCTCTCCTAAGGCTGGAAGCAGGAAACAAGCACATGTGCTTATTCTCCAGATTTTAACAATTGTAGGAATTACATGTGCTTATTCTCCAGGTTCTACAAAGACTGTGTAGCTTTCTCCAGGAGACAAAGTCTGCATTGCTCAACACATCATTACCGTGTTGATGAAAAACATACGTATATCAAAGATCCACTTATTCCTAAAACAGAAGGAAATACCTGTGGCATCCATCTTTCAGAAGAATTAGTTTAGTGCAGAACAGGCCAAATTTGAAACCTGCAAGTGGAGGAGCTCCACACAAAAAGGCTGACAGGATTCAGTCCAACGGGTCAAGGCAGCACACAAGACTCTATGAGATCAGGTGACTCCTGAGGAGTTTTAGCCAGATTCAGAATTAGCAAAGCAAAAATAAGCCAGGTTCCATCCTGGATCCCTAGACAAGAAACAGATCCTGAGGAAAGATCTCTGCCACTGTGTCTCTTACACATCATCTCTGACAACGTAAACCAAGACTCCAATTCCACGTGGACGAAGCACACGGAAAGATGACACCACAAAACACAGCCAAATCCCCAATAATTTGTTAGATTTAATCTTTGCCCCTCTAAACTGCAAAGGAGTTGTTCCACTGATCTCACTGGATGCAGAACCATGTCCTGCAGAACCATGTCCTGCCATACAATACATGCTCCAAGATGCCCTATGTAAGAATTTATTAATAGCAAAAGGTTTGGAAAGATTCTTTTGGCATAGCTACACAATGCAGGATAATTACCATGTTGAAGTAAGACCGGATTTTGACTCCTCTTGCCAAATCCCAAACTATGACATTTCCATCATGTCCAGCAGAGAAGAGAACTCTTGGATCAAATGGATGAGGTTCAAGTACAAACACTTCATCTTCATGTCCCTGAAATTAAAGATACACTAAACTGAACAGGAGTCATGTCTCAAATACAAAGGAATTCAATGAAGTAACACTGGGAACTGCAACGTGAAACTCACCCAAGTGCCCTGCATACAACCGCGCACACTGAAACCACGTATTTCTTCTTCTATTTTACTTTTCTTTTTCCAACTAAAATTTTAGCTTTGTAACAAGTACATTAAAAAACTGCTACTACTTCTGACATGATTTTAAATTGCACAGAAAGCCTTACACCAATTTTTGAAGTTTTTGATCTTGATGACTCACAGATTTCCACTTTTTTTTTTTTTTTTTTTTAGGGATAAYAACAGTTAGTATTTAGACGTGCAGAATTAGGTATTTAACTACAAGTCAAGATAATTCAATTTTTGAAGTACTAGCTTTAAAATTTTGCTTAAAATTTCTGATGTGTTATTTGGAGCTACCTAAAAAAATATTAGTTCAGTATAAATGCTATTTGATTTATCCCAACTAGAGGACTACTATTAAGATCCATGGAATGATGAGGCTGTAATAAGAAAAGGTTCAGACTTGGCCATTTTATTCATTAACTGTATTTCAAAACATCTGTCACACTAAATAAAGGTCAAAAATTGTTTCCTTTTCTCCTTCCAAGCCAGAACCTTAGTAGGGAGGGCTGGGGGAGGGGGAAAGACTCCAAAATTAGTTTCAGACATTTCCAACAACAATTAAAAGGAATCAGCCAGCAGACATGTCTATTACATTTCAGTGATCTGGAAGGGTGTAAGGCAGCCTTTGGGTAAAAAGGGCACACAAGGAATAATTTGGGTGACAGATACACAAATTCTGCATTGACTGATATACCAAGGCAGAAGACCTTACCATGAGAATATGAATGAGCTGACCAGTGAACGAGTTCCAGACTTTCAGGGTCATGTTGTTTACTGCAGTTATAACAGAGTTGTCGTGGCGGTCCCAGGCCACCATGGTCACCTTCAGTTTTGTGATTTTATCTTCAACTCCCTGTACACTTTGCCTGAAACAAAGAAACAAGGCGGCAATCTCTGTTTACTAAAAATGCTGTTATTTCCATAGTATGAAAATATTTTTATATTTTGCTTCATTAATAAAGATAACAGCATTATGTTTTCAAGGATCTGGACAAATTGGGTAACATGTAGCTCAAAAAAGACATTTATACCTGCTTAAACAAGGACGATGAAGTCACAAGGACTGTAGAGCAATTTTAAAGAATATATTTTTTCTAGATAATGCCTTTTGGATTCCTGACATAACCCATTCCAGACTGCTCTAGGTGATATTTGCTTAATGAAATGTAAAAATACAACAATAATTTGGCCTGGAAAATATTTACATTAGGCAGTTACAAGCACTGACAGAAGTATTCACACACCTGTGAGGTTAAGTTTTAGGCCATTTTGAGGACTATACCACCCCCCTTACTCTATTTTACTACCAGTAATAACTTGACCTTGCTTTTTTTTTTTTTATAATTTATATGAATATAAAATACTAGCCATTTTAAACATAATATGTCAGGCTACCTGTGAATAGCATTTTTGGAACTGTAATTTCAAGACATATCACCACTGAATTCTCTAATGYATTAACTTGTGGGAAAACATCAAAAGCAGGTTACAACTAAGAAAACAGACACAAAATATAGAACCTTCAATATACCACATATGATAATATGAAACAATATTATGTATTGTACAATTCAATAATACAAGAAGTGGTTACAAAGCCATATTTCACTGTAGTTCAATGTGAAACTCAGGAGGCTTTATGTGAATTTTTTTCCTTTCAATGCAACAATTTCATTTGTTTTGATAAAACTGCATGTATAGAGAAGACCAAATCTGGAATTGCATTTATCCCTCTAGCTAAGAGACAAAACAGAATTCAGCTAAATCTGTTTTTCAGAAATAAATAGTTAAGCGTACCAAAGAATTTTAGTATTTCTGACTGTAATGAAAAAGAATCATTTCTTAATTTTCTATGATCAGTTAAACCTAAGACTTTACAGGCTACATGCTCAAGAGACATCAAATCCACCCTTGTTTTCACTGTGCCAGTGGTCTATGGGCCTTCATTTAAGATGACAGTTTTTAAGTTTTACTGCATCTGACAGTAATTTACATTTTCAAACCCAGATTTCTAACTAAGTTGTACCCTATTTAGCTACTCTCTTCCATTGCTCTCTTGGACTTTTAGCTATCTCTTCAATATTACACCTAACACTATTTTTTTTCTCCCTCAACATCTATTCTCCTTCAAATTATTCAATACCATTAATGGAAGAGCTTTATGCCTTAAATCATAAAATCTTTCTAATCAATTTCATTTGGAATACATTTCTTYATGCAATCTGAACAGGTCTAAACCACAAAGAATTCCTACAAAGCCCTTCTTCATTCTCAGCTTTGGGAAAACCTTCCCTTTATAGATTCTGGTCTACCATGCAGRAATTTTCCATACTTACAAAGCTTTGTAAATTCTCAAATTATTTTAACAAGTGAGAACATATTACACTGCCAGTAATTTATTTGCTCTAACATGCAGCATAAACTAACTTAATACTGTTTTTCTGAGCATGCAGGTTCCACAATAATTTTAGGTATTACTAGAATGCCAGAAGGCTCAGTATTAGATCTGACCTGACTTTTTTGGACCAGAAACAAATATCTACTTAAAAAATACATACATTTCACCTGGGATGGGTTTCACATTTCTCTTTTGTTTTAATCTAATCTAATCCAAGTACTAGTGGAGCTATTATCAGGACAAGCTAGTTTCCAGGGCTGAGTAAGCAGTCAAATATTTGTTTTCAATGGCATTAAAGAGCTACACCAGCATATAATAACTTAACTCCAATAATAACTCCAACCTATAATAACTTAAGAGAACTCTTCTTTCAAAGTCAGCAAACAATATTTGAATTGAACRAATTTCAAGCATCTATCTGATAGCAGAACATTTCACATTACTTACCCTGCTGGGCGAGTAGCCATATCTAGCAAAATACTTTTCCATTCCCTTCGCTTAAACTGCCAGATCCGCGCGGTTCCATCGCGGCTTCCACTCACAAATCTAACAACATGGGAAAAAAAGTTTAATGAAGAGATCAAAGGCAGATCTGTACAGAAACATACGAACAAACAAAAACTAGGTAAAAAACTCCTGAGCTCAGAACTCAAAACGTAAACTAAGAAATCTGCTTATACAGTTTCAGAATACTGTACTGCAGGTTTGGGTGTAAAATACTGCATGTGACATGAAAAAAAGGAGCCCTGCAATAATGGAATTCGTTTCCCTATCCTGAGTCCTTTCCAAATTGATTGTACAATTACCCATGTGGCTCCTTATCTACTTACGAGATGGGTCTAGGCAGTGGGACATAATAACCCTATGAGATCCTAMGCAATCAGCTCATATAAAGCTAAGGAAGGAATAAGGATTAGACAGAATACTTCAAATGTCACGAGAGCTGCAAGACTGAAGCAAAGATTCAACAATTTAGTCCTATATGTTTGGAAACTACAATGATATTTATCTGAATGTCTGTCCTGCAGCTTCTCCTCCACTAGAGTGCAGAGGGAAAAGGAGAAAAGTGTGGATGGAGCACAATGAACTTTGGTTTACAACTATTCGTATCACAATAAAAATACACATTAGAACATCATTCAAGAGTCAGAAACTTCTCAAAGAAACTGAACCATTTTCTTCAGCATCTTTCACATTCAACATCCAGAATTTCAGGGAAGCGTTTAAGGTTAGACTAGACAAACATTCTCAGGACATGACAGTTTTCCTATACCCAACAGTAAATTAGGAAAAAAAAAAGTAAAATATATATATTTACTTTATACATTAATATGTTTATATATCTCTTAAGAAAAAGCTAGAATGTTTTATAATATTCCTGAATTTTGGCAAATTCAAAATACTCATCGGCTACAATAAATATGACTGTAAAACTTTCATTTTGCTAGTGAGAATCCAAAAACTCTGCTGCTGTAATAATGACTATGCTGCATGAACRTAAAAACAGAAAATGATTTTTAACCATTATTTCCAGAAACCTGTATTTGCACATATCTAAAACAGGCCAAAAGCATTTTGTTTACTTACCTGCTACTACTATTAGAAAACTGAATGCTGTCAACTTTGTCCTATACAAAAAGAAATAACATATCAATATTGATTGCAAATTATCCATACATTTTAAACCAATGCATATGTGATTTAAAAATCAGTATTTACAGTATGAAACTCCAACTCTGATATCTTCTCTGGCTGACCTGATCCAAAGAAATAAACCCTAATGATGTGATCTGTACTCCCAGTGGCCAAAAACATTCCACCTGAGAAAAGAAAACACAAATAAAATTAAACACAAATTAAAAAAAAGACTGATCTAATGTTATTACAGTATTTTTAATCTCTGTAACAATAAAATTATTCCATTTAAATCTATAGTCATATCTTAATTCAGGTCTGCCTGTAGCTGAAGATTACACTAAGTGGAAGTACCTTGTGTTTATTGTCAGGTAAGAATACATTTAAAAACCTATCTACAGAATTAGCTAATTTTTCCATCTGTAATAATTTATCTCTGACTGAGCCCACAGAGGTCTCAGTCTTACAGAGCTAGTGAAAATACATCTCTCTGTTTTTGACTTTTTATCTGTTTATAGTGTTCATATTGCTTTCCTTACAAATAACCACTTCTACGGATCATGGAAATTCAACCCCTGAGAATTTGAGACTCAAATAGCACCTCGTTCAAACCCTTCCAGAATCTACTTTATATAAAGCAGACTTTAGCACTCACTCTCAGAAAAAGGCTTATGTTGTATTTGAAAGTATTTTCAGTCAGTCCTAAGAGCGTTACTTGACATTTAACCACTTTCAAAAACTTCCCTCTCACCAAGAATTTAAGCATATATTGTGAATAGCTATCATTAATACTTGGGATTTTTTTCAAATCACCTTTATTTATTTTAATTTTATTGACAAGAAATATGCTATAGTGACTGTATTATACTTCATTTTACTCCAAATAACTTCTCATATTGGTATGAAGAAAAAAAAAGTCCTTTACCAGCACTAAAAGAAGAACAGATCATTTGGACTCCAGGCCGAGGACGTTCTGTAAACTTTGTTGGCCTTGGGCTACAAATAAAGAAAAGGTTAAATGATTTCCTAATAGGGTTTCAAAAACAAAACAGTATCTTAGAAATAAGACACAGAAGGACAAAATTAAATATGGAGGAACAGATGGCTGCCCATCTATAAACAATTTAGTGTGACTATGCTTCATGATCTGATCTTTAGGAAACTAAGACGTCCAGATGGACTAAGTAATGCATGTATCAGAGCGCCACGTCACTACTTAAATTCTGCTCCTCCCTCCCCCAAATATTACTACACAAAACACTCTCCTAAGTCACCTGCAAGGTGGAAAGGAGGACACCAGAGCCAGCTGGCCATGACGTTCAGTTTTAAGCCAATGAATTCTGGAACTCTGGTCTTCCCTGGGAGTATATGGTTTTACTACAAGAGATAAACAGAGCGTGGCCACCTTTATAGAACAAAATGTAAAAGAAATGTAAATAAACTCGAAGCTTTTCACAGTGTTTAGCAGCTACCAGGTTGTTCGGAGAGCCTACATTATTGTGGATGGCACTAGGTTCACATTGCACCCAGCGAGTTTTAGGACAACGGTTGGAAGCTCACAAGAAATTTCACCTTTATGAACTCTGGCTCCTTGTAGGCACTTCAAAATGCCACGTGCAAGCAGGACTAAAGCTTCAAGAGACTTAACACTTTATGAGTGTACGAAAACAACAAAAATGAGCTCTGGTACTTCAATCACTACTTCAGTTCTGCAGCCACCTCAGATCAGTAGGTGGCCTTACATACTACACCATCTGCAATGCTCAGTCCTTAAAGAATCGACTCTCTAGCTAACTGCAGCATTACACCCACAAGTGTCATCACTAAAGATTTGTTTAGATTCTTTTAACATAAAAGCATATTCACGACTCATGTAAAATTTTCTCAGAGCAAAATGGTCCACAGAACTACAATTYCTTTCCGCTAAAGGCAGATAACCTCCATCAGATGCATGAGGCCCCTTTTCTCCACCCTGTCAGCCATTGCTACCTCAGAGAAGCAAAGAGTAGGCATTAAACCTTAATAATGTCTGCACACAAAGCAAAGTAATAAATGCAGTGAGGACACCAATTAATTAACATTTTTTTCCAAACTGCTGATTCAGCATAGGATGTTTCTGTCAATCTTCTTATAAACATTTTCAGATGCTTCCTGATAAAGATTCGTGGCAGGAAATCACACAAAGATACATAATAAATCTGTCTTGTCTGGTGTAAAACAGTTTAAATCTTTCCTAATTGAGATACTAACACAAGAATCAAGAAAATTCAATATGCAGCTTAGAGAATTTTAAGGAAATATAAACAGATATACAGGTTGCTGCTTAATTTTCCAACTTAAACCTATTTAATGCATGTAATTTAAAGTATTAAGAGATAAAAGATTAGAGCATTCTTTCACACAGAGCAGGTTATGGCCTTTACAAAACAAGCCAGGCAATCAGTATTTCAAGAGCTGGATGAAGAGAAGCAAGGGAGCTGGACAAAACAATCATTTCTTGCAGCCTACAGAAACCAGGTGAATTGCTCATGTTACAAGAATTCTCAATTACATAAGTAACTGGAAGGTATTAAAATACCTTCATGAAGATTTCATAGATGGGTTCAGAAAAGCCCTGGAAAATCATTTTAAGATGCACAGTCAAAAAGGAACCTGCAGCAATGGCAGAATGAGGGTTAATGAGGGTTGAGAAATTAAGACCCCCTTTTCTAAAACAGGAATGTTAAATTCACCAGAATCTGTTTTCTAAACATTCTTCTTTTTAATATGATGGGAAAATATYAGGAAAATAACAGCATTATATTAAGTTCCTCTATCAAAATTTGTCACAGGTTTAAGAGCTCCTTTGGCCACAGGACCGGCTGATGACAGACTAATGCTGGAAACCTGTGACCCAAGTACATGGCAGAGGAATAATGGCCCTTCAGATACACAGGCAAGTATTTTGCAGTGCAACCAGTCTAACTTTTGGCCCCTGGCCAGCTGTTATACTGCCCTCCTCAAACGTGCAGCAGACTGATCCTCAGTTCTGGTGATCTGAGGTTGATCTCCTCTCCTCATGGTCAAGTGATACACAATGTGACTCGTGCTTTCTATCATGATCCAGAGAAACAAGAGGAGACTAAATACTGAGAAAAGCCTTGATTGTCTCAATTTTTCACCATTTCCCTGTCTGCGCAGCATTCTGTAACTTTGTCTTTAAGCAACATGAGAATTTTGTGGTGACTCGTGCCCTGTCTGCATCAGCCACATCTCTGTCTCCCCCTTTGGCACAGAATCTACTGCAAAGTGTCCTTTAGCTGTTCACCAAAGGAGAGCTCTGCCACCAAGCAGCTCCCCTCTGGGCCAAACAGAGGACAGAGACTTCTGCAATTCAGGAAGGAAACAGTAACACGTGCAGAGAAAAACAAAAATCAGAACTGGGACAGGGCACYAGACACCTCGCGGCTTAGAGGATACTAAAGTGTCCTTTCAAATTGCAGGTAATACAGTTTAAGATAATTGATCCAATTGTTCAATTCTTTGTTATTAAGTAAATGTCCCATCATCTTCCAGCTTATTTTTAATCAAGGAAGGTGTGGAATAAAGAACAATTTTCCAGTATGCTCATCTCCTAAGGAAGCCATCAGGGAAAGACTTCCTTGACAGAAGGGAGGAACTACATTTAAATTTCTAAAAGAGAGTTGGTTGGTTGGTCCTGTAGACTTATCCACTCAACCTGGTCCAGCGGCAATAGCTTCCACTGCAGTTAGGAACGTGAGATCAGAAGTCAGACCTCTATACAGCAGTTCTCTTGACCTGTGTTATCCCCCATCTTTCAGTTTTGCCTTAAATTTCTTATTTCTCCTCCCTTCACAATAGGGAAAGCAGGGGGGTGGAAGAAGAGAATAGTGATATGGGGATTCAAGCTCAGAACCCGAGTAATTTTCATAAGAAATCTTATTTTCTGTCATTCCTTGTAAATACCCTGAACAGAAGCAAGCCTGTATTTCCTTTTAAGTAAGCCTGCATTTCCTTTTACTATAGCCATAAAACAAACTCTCCACCCTGCAATTATTTTCTTTTTCAAACACTCTGCACGCCACACCAGGGAAGCCGAGCTGGTGATGTGCAAAAATAACATGTGATGTGAAAAAACAGGAATCCCCTTTACCCTGGCACCCTTCTACCCTACAGTACCCCTGAATGGACACGGAGGGAATCTGCCCCATTTCTGCAGCTCTGGGAGCAGATCCCGATCTAAGGCAGAAGAATGTTACCAAGATGCTTGCCTGTATTGTGGGTACTCCTGCACCTACGTGGGATTCTTAGTTGCCCACCTCCACTGCACAGGGCTGCGTGAATAAGGTGACAGCTCAAGTTTGCAGTTTGGCAAATCTTTAAGCAAGACTTCCTGTAACTAACAAATTCCCCTGATTTAGTATTTTATTTAATAGGAGCTACATTGAGACTGTTCAGAGTGCCCAAATATTTCAATGTCTTTGGTGACTCCACTCTGCTTTAGCAGAGAAATACTTACCTGGAACCCACTCTGAGCAACACCCATTTATACAGCTCATGCAATTGACCCCTGCAGGGCTTCTGAGGGAAACCTCAGCCCACAGCAACCATGGCAATTATTTACAAAAGACAAATTGCGAAGCCAAGACCACAAAACTAACAGCAACGAAACACAGCGGGCAGCGTATAAAAATTCATGTGCAAAGTCCTGAGCTTGTTACAGTGCCCCAGAACTAGTACGGACATCCTGAGGAAAGCAGAAGATTAAACAATGCCTAAAGATGACATGTGCAACTATCTAAAAGGTAAGGAATTAAGCAGAAAGCAAAAGAGGTCACATTAATAAAGCAATATAGCACAAAACAAGGCCTTCCCATTGAGTAAGCTAAATCTGGGGAAAACAGTTAAATAATTATGAATAATTTCATGCAGTATACTAATTTCCCAACCACTGTGTCTGCCAAATGTGTTATATGCTGCAGGACCTAATTATATGCCCCAAAACAACACACCTCTCATGCGTTTTACAAGCAAAGAGGAAAAGACCAGGGAGAGAATCCTTCCTATTCTCCTCCAACAGAAAAACTCCTGAAAGTTACAAGGCTGCCTTTTCCCCTCTGCGCTGTGATGCGTCTCGGCAGCCACGGAAACTGTGCGGGAAGTGGCCCTGAGCTGCCGCTAAACCCCTCAGCCCTGCTGAGGAACCCCAATACCCTGCTGACCCAGCACTGCAGAGACTTCCCGTAAAAGAAAACGGGGGGGGGGAAAGGAAGGGAAGTAAACACAAAATTGTAAAAAGTCATTAAAAAAAAAATCTTTTGCAATTAAGAATGGAATTATCCATTTCCTTTTCTGAAGCTACTTCGCTACTAGCTGCTACTGCTACTTTGTTCATCAGATATATCTCATCGCTTCACACGACGAAATATCCTTTGAGCCAAGGTCATACAATCTCATCCCATTCACGCTTGCTTCTAATAAAGACCAACATATATTTGTACTAGGTTTTGGTTGTGATCAAAAAGCACGAAGGACTTCGAGTACATGGGAACAGCAGCAGGGAACTAGAAGAAGGTCTGAAACCAGCACCCTGCCTCCAAGAGTGACCAAAATTAGATGCTTGTGTGAAAAGCAAGCACGGAGTGACACCTCTCTAAACCACTCCATTAACTTTTCAGCCCTAACAACCTGTGGCAAGGAGTTTCACAGCTTAGCTRCATGTTTAGCTAAGAACCAGCTCCTTCCATTTCAGGATTGGCTGCCTTCAACTGGCACTCTCTGCTGTGACAGAGGACAAGGAGCAACTAATCCTGCTACGCCAGCCTCAAGGGAGTCGTGACTGTCATACGAAAAGGGCCCAAATGCCCTCTTCCTCCATGTCAACTATATCCCTGCCTGAGAAACAAGAAGTTGGTGTTTCCTCTGATGAGTCAGTGAACACGCTGTTTTCCACATTGACCCAAACAAACCACAAGTAGCTACCTGGTACTTTTCCTCTGCACAGGCACTACAATGCTAGGTGTTTCGAAAGCAGGGCTTCTGGCTTTCGGAGGATTATGGTTAACTGAAAATTATCTTTTCAGAGTCCCCCAAACTCACATTTTTAACAGATCAGTARGAATTCCACCTTTTTACCTTTCCTCTGTCTCTTCTTCTTCCCATTAAAAGAGAGAGAGAGAAAGGAAGAATGAGACACACACACTGACTCAGAAGGCTTTAAAAAGCAGGTAGGTCCAGACTTCACCACGTCAAGAGCAGCTCAGGCCTTAAGGAAAGTGACRTGGTGGTAGCTCCTCTCCTTCACCCGCCAGCCACCTCCTCCTCCCCTTCCCTCCCCACCAAGGACAGGGCCTGTCCCACTGATCACAGTGCCTGCCAGGCAGCAGGCAAGCGGTCGCATCTGCAGCGCCCAACAGGGGCATCAAAACTCCCAAGCAACATCAGAAGAGCTAAGGTTTAAGCAACGAGGGGAGCTGCAGAGCCACCTGCAAGCCCTGTATACCCTTAGCACAGCAGAAGAAAGAGATTCTAACAGCAAATTCTCAAACTTCAAGAAAATAAGACCAACCTATCAGAATATATCCCTGCAATACATCTGATCCTCAAAATTACCTATTATTAAAAACAAAACATGTTTTGTGATGATGGAAAAAAAAAGAGCAAGAAGTTTTTGAAAGCCATTTTAAAACTCTTTTCACAACATATTACCAAAAAATAAATAAAAAGAACATTAGGAATTTTTACTAGATTAACAAAGATACAACCTAACTAGGCACGTATCTATTTGCTTCCCCCACAAAATCCTAAATGCTCGGTTATGTTAGCAACTCAGTCCTTCAGAGATGAGCAGGTAATCTAAAGCTGCACCAAAAACAGATGACATCCAATCACACAGACTGTTAACCAACTAGTGACAGGTTTTGTTTAGGTCAGATGTTTCTCTMGCATTTGTACATCATTCTCAGTTACAGACAAAGAAATAACAAGAAGTAAAAGAGCAACTAACTTTATTTTAAGGGTGCCAGCATCCCACAGCCAAAAGCATATTGTTCCATCTGCCCCAGTTGAAGATAAATATCTCTTTGAGCCACTGCACAGTGGAGAGAACTGGGGAAAAAAAAAGAAAAAAGAAAGAAAAGGACTCATGTTAATCTGTTCCAGGCTAATGCTATTTTCTGTCATGTGCTATAAAGCTCCTCAAGTCATTGATGTCTCATAAAAAATTCAAGTATCCAACCATATTCAAGAAGCAATAAATTGCAGCAAACACGGAAACAACATGATGCTTCTCAAAGTAACTCTCTCCTTCCTCTCTCTACTTCCCAAACCACCTCCACACAATCCAAGATTGTGCAATAGCACACACCACTACACAGAAAAACTAGTTAGCTGGCACTGCAGCTCTTAGTCAATGCACCTGTATCTGGAAGCACAGCCTGCAAAGAAATGATACTTCAAAGGAGAACTGTCCGCATGCGTCATGCAATTTTGTGCAAAATCATACGACAAGGATTATGCCTTGCTTGTTTTTCAAGTGTCAGACACTTTGATAATAAACAGAACTGATGTGGACCACAAAAATCCCTTTTTCATTCATGACTTCGTTGTCAGACMCACACTTTTATTACATACAACACTCCCACGTGGTTTCCTTCTCAAGCAAACAAGACCTGCCTGCCTAGGTGAAGCCAGCAGGCACCACCCTACCTGCAAGGAGGTGATGGAGGCGCTGTGGCCCTGCAGCACGGCCAAGGGCGCGCACGTGCGAAGGCACCAAACCCGGATCATTTTATCGCAGCTCCCGGCGGCGATCATGGTGTTCTCGTAGTTCACTGCCATGTCGGAGATTTCCGCCGCGTGCCCCCTCAGCGTGGCCAGCAGCCGCCCATCATCCGTTGCCCAGATTTTTACAAGGCAGTCATCCGACCCCTAGAAGAAAGGCAGAATTCATTGCAACCACACCGTGAGCTGCTTTGATGATAGTTAAATACCACAAGGAATTGAACAACAAAACCAGTGACAGACACAGGGTAGCTTTTTTCTTTACTGTCTTCTTAACCGCTTTTCACACCGCATTCAAAACACAGAATCAAAAACATTTCAAAACACAAATGAACATCAGTTCCTCGCAGTATATGCAAATCACACACTTTTAACACCAATCACAAATCCTATAGCAAGCCACCTTCTTTAGCAACATGCTTCACTTTTACAGAACTCCAGCTCCCACTGAAGAAGCAAGCAGGCAGCTGCAACACCTTACGAGCTACGTTAAACCTGAGACTCGACTACAAATTGCAGCAGTGCTTCTGTCATTCGACATTATACCCATTTCTGTTCCAGGGCTAGTTTGTCCTTCATGCCCCGCCAGYCTCAGCAACACACTCACCGTGGGGAGGGTGAGGTAAAGAGCAAGGATTCCCTTGCTGTTCATAGAAGCCAAGTCAAAATATGCYAAGTCTGCTTTGGTATTCACATCAAAAGAATGCTGAAGTGACCATTCTCAGCAAACTTCACAGGCTTCACCTACCTACTCAGGCTTAACTTCCATTTTGCTGCTCTTCCCACAGCACTTCAACAGCTTTTACCTGTAAGTTACAAACCCCAAGTCCCAGCCAAATACTCAAATTCAGTCCTTCAAGTTTCCACTGCATTTCTGAGCTTCACGGAAGATTGAAATTCTTTCCACCTCCTCAAACACAACATTTCAACAGTGTACCCAGACACTGAGGGAAGTGCTTTGCACAGTTCCACACTACTGATTCAAACCGCCTGCAAGCCTCAAAGATAGCTGTTCCCGTGCACATTTTTGCCATTTGCTTCAGTCCAGGAGGGTTAAACACAGGAGATGTTTAGATTAACGAGCTGCCGGATTTCAGAAAGATTGGTAGAAATCTGGTGAGCACATGTGTCTATGACTGAAAGTGCCAAAAGAATATTTAGAGACCACGGATACTACATTCACAAATAAAAGCACATTGAAAAAAAAACCACATAAATCAAAGCTTTCCTTATTTCTTGCACACTTTAGTCTAGATACACAAAATTATAAAAGAGATCCTACACTGCTACTGTTTAACTGCCCTTCTTTTCCAGATAACCAAAACCAAGGGTCAGCGACACCCAATTTGAAAAGTCCTCGCCAACACATAAACAAAGTAGAACTGTTCCCTGAAAAAGCCAGGAAAAAAACTTCAGAAAGCAGTTTCAAAATGAATGCAAACATATCCCAGTGTTATTTTGTTTGCTTTGCATTTTTTGTCCTGTATAGGAGGATTTTGAAAGCTTCTTGGTGTTATTAGATATTTATTGTTTATAATATGTTTATGTCAACGAATAGAACTAATTTCCCCTCGATTTCTATGTCCTTACCCAAAATGTCTCAGTTCTCTACTTGAAGAGGTAGTTAAATTCTACCCACTACATTCAAGATTCAAAATATCAGCTGGCAGGAGGGAGYGAGCAGCCCACCTGTAGCCATCCCACAATTTTTACCCCACAACCCTTTCATTTGTAGCACCACTCAGTAAACAGGCAACTGCCTCAGGCTGACTTTCTGTTTAGAGAGCAAGAAGTTGTTTCTTCTCCAGCCACATGGGAAATGTTAAATTGCTACCTGGCCCTCAAAGCCAGYTATTTACAACAGTTTCTCTTTACCTCTATTATTTACATCAACACAGACRAGACAATATATTTCTGAACATAGAGAAACACAAATCCATCTCAATTCTTTTTTTTTTTTTCAAAAAGTAAAACCGGAACCTGGTTGCATTTGGACATGCTGAGAAGGTCTTCATCTCTTAACAGCTGCACAAAAGGCTATTCTGGAGCATTACTGCCATTTTAACCCAGCAGTCCCCTGTTTTGTGGGGGACTCTGGGCATGTGAAATCTTAATTTTCTGACCGTTTTGGTAGGTGGATCTGATTTACCAGTGGCCAAGCTCCTACTTCTCTACCTCTCCTACACCCTCCATTTTTCCTTAGACAGGCACAACTCTCCCCCAAGAGAATTGTTCCTGCCTGCCCCAGCTCTCCAAGCAGTGTGAACATGAACACAGGGAGATTTCAGGAGAGGGGGAGCAGAGGAGCTTCCCTTACCCTTATCCCAGTCCGTTCTGATATAAACTTCTGAACTTCTAACTGAAGATTTTCAAACAAATTCTACATCACTAGCACAGTCTTCTTGAGGAAGCACTTCCACTAGAGCAACTTCCTACTACCCTGAGGTCTCTATCAGCAGATTCACTTCCAGACAGACTTCCCAAGTCACTGTGCCTGCTTCCACCCCTTACATGCTCGTGTGTGAGTTTGTTTGCCCCGAGCCCGTGACCGAGCCGTTGATCATTCACGTAGGTCTCCTGCCACTTCCCTCACCTTTCCGTGCAGCAGGTGAACCCTTTGGGGCATGGAGGAGGTGATCCTGGAAAACTAACCAGCTATCCCATTCTTTTCTTCTCTCTAGGACAGTATCCCATGAGATTTTTACAAGTGGGTCCCTTAACAGGCCAAGGGCTGCTCTCCTGAAATCCAGGCTTGTGACCCTGCCCATTGCTTTGATTTGAATAATCCTTCAGCCACTTTCCCTCCTGTTGACCTACTACAAGCTACTAGATTAGCAGCAGTCCCACACTGTGTTGTTTTATAGCTATTTCCCTTCATTCATAAACAAAAACATCAGAGGTTTCAAGTCCGTTGCAGCCAACTCCCACGCTCACTCTCCATCAGGAAGGGATCCCACATTTGTACTTCTCTTCAAATCACAGATTCAGGAAACACCTACTGAATTCTTCAGGCCATGAGAAAAGTCTCAGTGTTCCTGAGAGGATAATTCTTCCCTTTGCACAGTATGTGAGCAGCAGCCTATGGCTGCTGGTTTCCTATTCCCTCTCCACCACCTGTCCCATAACCTTCTGGCCTCTGTGTTTGTGATTAATCTTTTATTTGCTCATTATCAGAGTGCAATAAATGCGCAGGGATGATGCTGATTGATGCACCCGCTTCTCTCTTCACATGTTTTAATAATGGAGATCATGTCAGCAAAGGAGCAGTCATTTCCGGGGTACGCAGAGATGATCTAGTTCACGGGATCTACAACAGTGTCAGAAGTGTTCAAGTGACCTAACTGAACATGTTCCCAACTCCCCATCCTTATCAAGTAYAAGTTAGCCCCTTATCATGAGCCTAAGTATCTTAAACACAAGAGGATTATCCATGAAATGCATCTAGCTCGGGAGAAGTGCATGAACTCGCTTGTCAGCAGAGAAACCATGAAGTAAATTTACAGCTTGTGTGTTACTTCACAGAATCAAGACATTTGTCCATTTTTATCTAGAGGGTAACTTATTATTATTGGGTTTTCCCAAAATCTTCCCATTTTCTGCCATCAAGAGCATGAGCACAGCCGGTTATTGAAAATTAGCTGACACGTTGTCTCTCTCTGTCAGCTCTATTCAGAAGTATCTGGCATGGAAAGATGCCCCAGGAGTTTTTCAGGAAAAGCTGACATTTCTATTGGTGTTTTTAAATGATGAATGTGGGGAGATTCATCTCACCAGGTTTATCTTTGAAACAAAGGGCCTAACAAGAACTCAGAACTAGTGCTGCTCCCTCCCTACTCAGCGAGGGAGGGGAGAGCTTCAGAGAGCAAAGTCCCCCTTCCTGCATCCATGGTGTCCAACCTCCTCTGCAAGCTCTGTGGCAGAGGGCAACACCAGAAGCAAAGCCAGGGACAAACGTGCCCTCCTGCCTGGCAGGACGCACAGCACGAGCTGCAAGACTTGGGGCCCAACTCTTACTTAAACACAGTAATTCAGAAGATCCAACTCTTAAAAAAGAAGTCAAGCCTTCTAAATGAACATATTCTTGAGCAGCAAAACCTCACCACATCCTTGATAAAATTTAATAAATACACAAAAAAACAGAACTTCAGAAGGTTTCTAATTCTACATCAACTCCAATTACGTGTTTAAAGTGATAATTGTTCCCCTTCCCCCCAGCGTGAGCACACCCGTAGCTTCCAGTTTTTAAAGGTTCTTTGAATATTTGTGTTGTCCTTCTCAGGTACCGACTAATAAGACTTCCAAGTGACAACAGGAGTCAACGAACAAATTTGCCATAGATTTATTACAAACATATTCTTCTGACAGCTCCTTGGATCTACAGCAGCCAGTTAGAATTTGGTAACAATGTTACCTACTCACTGTATTGATGGTCAGAAACATACTACGGATTCACTCCATCACATCTGAGAGAGCACCAAGAACCCTGCAGAGGTTTCTTGAGAGTGTAGGTGCAAGCAAAATAAATGGTGAAAGGAAAAAAAAAAAAAAAAACAGAGACAAAAGAGTGAGTGGAAAACAACTGATGTCAAGGAATATCCTCACCCTCAAAACAGAAACTTGAAAGTAGAAGAGGGAATCTGGAAACCGGGATGGCCAAGACATGTGGCTTGCGGAGGGAAGGATTTACTCACATGAGCATGAACCTCTTGTGCAAAGCAGGCATGAGAACAGCACCAAGTCACTTCTTTCATCACTTACATCACTGGCTAGCAGTCCCAGCCCAGGGGTCATGGGGTTTTTTTTGTTTTGAKCTGCATAAGTAAAATAATATTCTGCCTACAGGACTGCACACACCACATAAAACAGGCTTTTGCAATTCTCACATTGCAAGAGTCAATATTTCAAATAAGCTATTGATTTTTTAGTACATTTGCAGCCTGCAGCCATTTTACTGGATGAACAGACAGAGCATTCAAAGCAGGAAATAGACATTTGATAACCAAATCTTGCATTAGGAGACCCCCCAAAAAGCTGTTTGCAAAATTTAACCAACAGAYAGCAGTTTCTTATCACTTAACTCTAAATGAGCAATAGGAACTTACRGGAAAAAAAATCAACTTATTTCTTATCTCCATCTAGATAACTTGAAGATGAAGAACCATCAAGCAACAAAAACAAAACATAAGTCTGTAAGCTAATGCCACCTGGGCAGACATCAGATCAGTAACAGCAAATTAAATGAAGAAACCCAACACAAAAGCTGGCTAAAGGATAGCTAGAGAAGCATGTGTTTCACCTCTCTATTGCAGAGAAAACATAACCAGCTGTCAGCAGGTCTCACAGGTAAGACGAGGGAAAAATAAAATTGTAAATTCTGCAGCCTCTTGGCAAGACAACAAAATAGTCTTCAAAAAGGCCATGGGAGTCTGACTGAAATGAATGTGGCAGTTCACAGCTCAAATACAGGTGCAGTTCTGCCAACAAGGACCCTGGCTTAGCCACAGCTCATGTTTCCAAGGTTATGCCTACAACTACTACAAATTATGTGCATTTTAAAAGCATTTATCCACAGTGATTTCTAAAACAAGTTTAGAATAAGAGAGCTGATGATGGCATTAGCAAGGTATGGAGCAGAAGTGGTTCACTTCCCTGCTATTACTCAGTCTTGTGGGCAGAAGTGAACTGCCAAGAAACACACAAATCAATCTTTGGTTGGAATCTTATAAAGACTGTTTCATGTTGCTGTTTATTATTCCCTAGAAAGCTTATGTCAAAGATGACAGGAGATGGAAGATGGGGAAACAAGAATGCTGGTTTTGCAGGCATAAAGTTAAACAGCAAATACGCTGCAAGAAAACATAGCCTTTTCCTAGCACAAAGCATGGGCTCTGCCTCTCACGTTTACCAAGSGATCTAAGATGAGACTCACAAATATTGAGATTTTCTTTACTAATGCTGATAGACAGTTCTTTTGACTGTGTCTTTGCAAGTAAAAATGGTATCTTAAAACCGAGTTTTTAAAAATATATGTTAGTAAGCCAGAGTTTGAATATTAGGAATATTTTCGTATCATCAGGAAAAAAAAAACAGCTAAGAGGTTAATCTTTAAAAAAATCACTTTTGTAAAACCTGTTAAAGGATTTAGCATAACCTATAAGCTAGTAGAAAACCTATGCAATGCCCTGTTTTCACTGCCTCTAGACAAACTAGCAGCACCTTCCTCTTACTAATGAAGGTATCATCTCTCAAACCAATGTGAATCAAAAGTGTGCTAAAATCTTTTTTTTTTTTTCTTTTAATTTGAAACACGCCAAGAGTCTTAAGTTGTTAAGTTGTAAGGAAGAAAACGCAACATAGCTGTTTTTGTTCCTACAACCAGCTATAAATCTAAATTTACTTACTTTATCCAGCTAATAACATGCTAAAAGCCAGAAATTTTTGAAGGAGAAAYGTGGAGTAGGAATGATCCCTTATCAATACAAGCACATTTGCATTCTGTTTATTCCAGACATGCGTGGAATAAAATAAGTTTGTCTTCTTCAGAATAATTCCTGTTTTTCTGCTTCCCACACCTCCCCGCCAAATTAAATACACCAGCCACAATCAACTTCTATAGACACATGATTTAACACTGGATTAAAGTCATCACAATTTGAACCTCAGACCTTTTTCAAGCTATTACAGCACAACAGTGATAGACCCATTGGCAAAGGCCTGCCAGGAAAGTCCAAGGGCTGCAGGAGAAATTTCCCCCACTTTTACTTAAGGTAAACTCCAGTTTCACACTACAGTTTCACACAACTTACCTAGGAAACACCAACACAAGTTATGATTTAGAGGTGAAGAGGATGAATACATGAGTTTTTTTCTACTTGCACACCTAAAATTCCTAATCCTTTCTGCGATGACATAAACCGTTAAAACAAAGAGTCTCTTTTTCTGATAGGCATGATGACAAGATTTTCATGTCCATCAATACTGAGTTACTTGTTATTAAGTAACTGAAGAAATATAGAAAAACATCTCCAGTATCTCTGAATTAAAAACAAACCAAAGCCTTTCAGAATACTCTAAGTACCCCATTCCTGCAACCAGACATCCATGCCTATTTACTACCACCTTATGAGAATTTTAAAATGCAGAAGTAGAAAAAAAAATGAGCTGTATTTCCACCTACATCACCTAAGTGYCTGTCATGAGGTTAGAAAAGGCGCTCACCATCCCGAACGCAGTTGTTAGTTGCATATAGGATTTGTGGGAAGGTAGTCAGTGCAGCCAAAGTGGTTCAGATTGGTATCGACTGTCTATTTATAATCTTAGTTTATTAAAAGTAACCACTTGCCAAGGAACCCAAATTACACTGACATCTATTTTTCTTCCATCATGATTCCCACTCTCTGCAAAACTTGCAATCTTGGTACTTATTTTAGGCATTTTTCCTATATTTTTTCATTGAAATAAACGAACAAATAAATCCTACGCACACTGATCCAAGAACTAGTTCAAGACACCACAAACCGACATTTATTACCATAATAGTTTTCAAACTTCTAGTTTCTATCAATACACTGTACAGCATCTAAGTGAATCACCAGACTTTATCTCATTAGCCATGTTTTTAATTTACAAAACATATAGCAAAGTCAAATTAATCTGCAGTTGCATACTGATTTTCCTCCCTGAATTCTTCACTGAATCCTGTGGTGACTCTCCATTCTTTTGCCTACGTTTTACTACTGCAGAATAACTTCCACAAGTGAAAAGCAATCCAAGAACGTTATTTCTTTCTACTGAAAATAACCTGAGCCCTCTTACTGAGCTACGTGGATCAGAAATAAGTACCTCGTTTGTCTTTAAGGCATTTTATATACTCCTTAAAAAAAAAGTGCAAACACAAGAACAACAGTAGCAAGACAATTACTTGGTCTTGAAATAATATAATAACCATGTATCACATAAATTGGCTTTTTCATAGAAACCTAAATGACATGCAATCTGCACACAAATAATAATTCTTTAGAAAGCAAAAACTTTTTACTTACAGTAAATATTCGCCTGCCAGTCCGATCAAAGGTTACACAATAGACAGAAGATAAGTGTCCCAAAATGCGCTTGTGCATCTTCATATGTTGATAGACTGCAGTTGGAACAAGGCGTTCAAGTCTGTACTTCCCATTTAGTTTCCTTGAAAAGAGGGTATCCACTAGCACATGGAGAGGGGGACAAAAAGGGAAAAAAAGAAAACCAGCATTTACAWTGGGTTCATAAGCTAAAATGCTTGTCCAGATGAGAAGCTCAGCTTTACTATTTTTAGATTGCTGCTGAAGCAATGAATACAGTGTTTGCAGGTGTGAATATACAGACATTTGTCAAACAGTTGCCCATGTTATCTTTAGGTTGGGGAAAGAGGGGCAACAGCAACACATTTTGCATTCCATAGGGTTGTGCTAAAACAGAAACTGTATTCAGACCACCAAATTTTGGATATATGAACATTAAATCTGAATGCACACGTACACCCTAAGTCCACACCACTACACATGAAAAATACAACCTGCCAGTGTCAAGATACATAGGTGATACCATTCATTCCTTGTGTTGAACCACAGATGAATTTACACAACAAACTACAAGGCCAATTCAGCCAGCAGCATTAACCACAAAGCAGCCCAAAGCCCTGGACGCCGCAGGGTTTTGTTCAGGCCAACTAACGCGCTCTCAGCCAGGGCTCTGCCAGGCTGCACGCGGCCAAGATCCTTCAGCAGAGGCAAACCAGCTATGACCCGAGTTTACACAATCATCTTGACCTACTCTAAGCTACACTTTGYTTACTCTTGAAATGCAGGCAATTGCTTAGAAATCAACTTCTAGCAATGCCTTCCTAGGAATCGACGGCTCACCAAAAGGTAAGGATTGTTAGCCAAGATAATGGTATTTGGAAATAACAACACAAATCTCCCACAGGTTTGAACAGTCTGCCCATTAAGAGATTATTTTAAGACCTCTCGAACTTCTCTGCTGAACCAAATTCTCACACCCACCATTGTTCTTAGATATGACCTTTCATTTAACTGTATGTATGTTTACACACTTAACTCACATTTACTTTACCAAGTAAAAAACCAGTTTGGTTTTTTTTGATGACCTATTCCCATTTTATTCCTAGCATTTACCACTCCGATATGTCACTTGCACGCTATGCTTGTGCAGTGTTTTTTTTCCTCCAAGTTCACAAATAGCTGTGAATAGGCAGAAATCACAAATAGCTATGTCTCGAAAACAGATTCTGAAGCAGAATAATTAACAAAAAAAAACCTTCTGATGCCAGCCAAGTCAGAAAGGGTACTACTAATATTACTATTTTTTGTACTAATTGCAGGCTTTTGGTTTTATAATAACTATTACCTGTACRTGGCCTCATGACCAGTCAGGCCTTGTCTGATCTTCAGCCTATTTTAACTTGATTTTACCTATTTACAAAAAACTAATTTCAGAAACGTCTCTAACAGCAAGCCTGGCTTGTACCTTATTCTAGCAGCTTTCTGTCTCTGCTTGGTCTAACGTGGCAGCGCAAACGCGTCTGGCCTTTGCCAGGAGAGCAAAAGTGTAAATCCAGTCACTGAAAAAGCAATARAAGTATAAGCAGTTGAGCAGCTGCAGTGCGAGGCGCTAACCGTGCACGGCAAGTGCAAAAACAAGGACGTGAGGAGTATCCAGGCAAAGCTGGAGAGGGCTGCTCAGCCCCCAGAGTGAGCCATCCAGCACAGAGATGTAAGGGCTGGAAGCAAGAAGGGACACAGCTACACAGCAGGCGCCTTGCTCCCCCTGGAAGGGCACTGCAAAGGGGACACCCTGCTCCAATGTTGCTCCTATGCAACACATCTCAACCCTGACCAATTAGTTAAGTGAGGTAAAATTAACTTAGCTTTGAAAGCTTGTCTGTTAATCACACGTGTATAAGATCATGCTTAAAAAGGAAAAGCAAAATAAAAGGAGATGTTACCAAGTGGTTGCTCTGCAACACTGCATGACCACCCACCACTTAGTCCCACGTGACATTTTGATGTGACATTTAATAGTGAAGCCGGCTGATCAGCCTTTCTTATTTTAGTTTTCACATTCAAAGTCATGTGCCTTATTTATATGGTGCTACAACAGACCGTGGAACATGCATTTAAAGGCGGGGGAGAGAAAACTGCCGTGGTCTGTAATGAGCCCAATTCAGTTCAGCTTTTTTACGAAGTACAAGTTAAATAAAAAGTCAAGACTGCCAGACTCCTTTCACTCTTCAAACTGGCAATACTAAATTCATCAGGCATTCAGTTTATTTTTTTCCCTTTCTTTCAAGATAACCAAAATCAAAACGAGCAATTTGAACTGACCTCCACCCTCCCTACTGTATTTTTGTCCAACTTCTAAGAACTATACAGTACTTTCTTGGCTTATAGGTAAATGACTGTCACCTATCCAAACAGGTCAAGCTGACAACTTGATCAAGCTGCCCTGTGTCTCAGAGCATTTCATGATAGAAAAAAAAAAAAACAAACAAAAAAAACCACCCCACACACACCACCACACACACCACACTGACTCCTTTCTACAGTTGCCTATGAGGACATAAGCAAATCTATATGCAGCTCAAAACTTGACATACATAATTTATTCGTTAAATGAAAGTAACTGCCAACAGAGATGCAAAACATTAGATGTTTAAGACGACGAAGAAAAACAACAAAAGCAAGTTGTACAATCTCAAGCACTCCCAAGTTGTTCCCTATTCCAAAGCAATCCTGCTCACTYTCAGTAGGTATCTGTTCAGTTCACGTTTGACTCTAAGTATTGTTACTGCAAAACTCCTATACAAGCTTCCTGCGTAACAGGAAGACATTAATTTAGTATCAGTCACCCCAGATTTATGGAGGGGGGAAGGGGAGAGTTTACTGTATAGACATCCCTTGAGTTAAGTCTATTTCTAACACCCAGAACACTAAAAATATATTTTTGCCTTGTATTTTGCTAAAATTAAAATAACGGTTACACGATGTCCTAAAAGCATGAACATTAGCTTTTAAGCCTGAAGGATTAATCAGTTATTTCCTAAAACCTGGTATCTATACCTTTTAAAAGACAACATTCTATTTACAGCTGATACAGCATCCAATAAAGAAACTCTGGGAAGCCTGGGCACAATATCCAAGAACCCTTCTCCAAGATGACTATGCAACAACCCATGAAATAGTGTTTTGCAGATGCAGACATATTCATTGATCAAGACAAATATTTTTCATTATCAGAGAAGACCAGCCAATCTCATTCTGGTTTTCTCACCTGAATGACCAGCTTCCCCAAGAAGCATCTAACTTTTAAGCTTTAGTTAGCTGTTTTTTCAGCAATTTATAAGAACTTATGCAACGATTCCTTTTCTGTGTCTGAATTCAAGAAGGGTTCGTTAACAAAGTAGCATACAGGAAAAGGCTCTTAGCTCTTTATTCCCATCTACTATTCTTTATAATTGCTTTATCTTTTTGTCTGACATGATTTTTGGGGTCCTGATGTGACTTTTCTTGACAGCTCCTTTTTCTCTACATAGTCTTCTACAAGTCCATAACTGGCATGTTAATTGCTTGTAGCACTGTTTCTACAGAAATTGCGATCAACTAACTTAGCGTGTGATTCTAGCCCTTCTTTACAATCTCYTCAACAACTTTTTACAAGACAGGTATGTTGCACCAGCAATATCAAAAAAAATCTTTTTTTTTTTTTTAAATTATATTCTACTGATAGTTCTGCAGTTTCCTACATAAGTACATGTTTGTATTTTAACTGCGTATAAAACAGCTACCTACAAGGCAGCTGGCAGAACACACATGATTTTAATTCCGAAGAATCTCTCACTGGCATCGTAATTACATCGGCTCAGCAAGCTAGGAAACCACTGAATGCAGCTGTATGTTTAGTGAAATGCAAATGCAGAGGGGAAAAGTCTGCAGAAGTCCAAAGGATTTCAGGGCCTTTTCTGTTCCTCAACYGTTAGCAGACTCTCCACCTGAAATACATACAGTCTGAAGAATAAAAGCTTCCGAAATTCTGTTAGACAAAAACCATGGCCTTTTAAGTAAAAATGTGAAAGTTGTTTAGGGAAACAGAGCAAAATTACCAAGCTCAGTTTATATAAGGAGTGTGATTCTGGTTCATGATTTCATTGAAAGGACTATAGAAAAGCATGGACAAATCAGAAGTGCTTCAACACACATTTCTGAACCAGACATCCAAAACCTAAGTAACTCTTCACTAAAAAACAACTAACTATCCGTACTTATCTCAATGCTTAGGAAAGGATGCAGTGTAAATATTCAGTGCTCCACAAAAATCAATTAAAACCAAAACATCTATATCTTTAGAAAGACTTGTTCTTCCCTAAAAAGTGGCTGAAACTCAAGGGTTGAAGCTAGGAGAGTGTCTATTAAGGTAAAACTACAACTCTTTGAAATCCAGCTGCTGTGGATTTCATACTTTTTTTTTTTTCCTCCTGTTTGAACACCACGTATCACCAAGCAAGCTACAGTACAATGACACAGCCCTCTTCCATCCCGACTTTATTGTATTTAAAAATTTGTTCTCAAATATAGAAGAAGCTAAGACAGCAGCTACTAAAAAAATASTTTCTAAGGCTCCAGTCACCCTGCAGAAAAGATTGCCGATCTAGGCCAAATCTACAAGCCTATTTCCCAAGCCTGCACTCTTAAAGTCAAGGCACAACCACTCCAGAGAGGAATTACTCTGCAGTAAGTGTATTTCTCCCCATCTCTAGAACACAATATAGAAACGACTTTTTAAATGAATGTCAGAATAAGAACTCTAATAAAAATACATTAATCATCTTTGACCAACACTGATTCCATGAGAGCAAATTCTGAAAACTCACTTSTCAGCATGCCACAAAGCCATGTTTCTCTTCCTTTATCACATACATCTATAGAAATATCATCACAAAAAGCATGCAAGCTTGTCCTTTAAACTAAGTGGAAGACCTACGAGAACCCCAAATACTTTGCCATTCTAATAGGTCCAAGCTGGCAGTACCAGCTACATTCAAAGATTCTTGTCTACAAAATGCTTCTGCTGCAAGTGTTGTGAACACTGTAATTCCCTGGATGTAGGATAACAATTTGAAAACTTTATTTTCAGTGKTTTTYTTTTCCCCCAGTCCTAAGAATAATCTAAATAGAAATATATCCAAAAAGAGCTGAAATTGTGGAAATCTTACGGACCATGTATAGGCTCCAAAAGGAGTTGAGACATTAAGAACTGTCAGGAACTCTACCAGTTGCTATGTTTAACACCTCTACCTGAAAAACATAACCGAAAAACTGAAAAAATCTGAAAAAAACCCTCAAAAATGCTTTTTTTTTTTTTTGCATATTTATGCATGCAACATATTTGTAAAAGCTGGGCAATCTCTGCTTAATATTAGAGAAATCCTAGCTTTAATATACATTGTTTTTTGAGAGATTTTACAGCTAAAATTTTTTGAGAGATTTTACAGCTAGTTTTCATAGAAATTAATTTATAGATCAAGACATCAGAGATGCTGAGCAGATCTTCATTCACTACATCTGTACTCCCAGCCAGCCTATCAAGTAAGAATGATGTCCCTCTGATGGCTGGCATTAATTGGGTTTGGTCGAACTTCGTAAGGGAGTAGGCAAGAAGGGAGAGTAATTTAAGGGTAAGAAACCTGTTCATCACTGTTAAAGTTGGAAATGTTTCTTTGCCAACTTGTGGAGAACCTCTGAAGGAGCAGACTGAGCACCAGGGATGGTGAGAGCCAGTAGCAGGTGCCAAGGGAGTGTGAATATAACAACAAACCAACACTTCTCCCATCACAGGCATGGGAAATGATGTGGGCTATCTGCTCAGCCAGCACGCTCAAGCCTCATGACACAGCACAGGAAACCACAGCACAGCTACAGAATTAGTGGATGGACAGACCAAACAACCAAACACTTCCACAGGACATTCAAATTTTCAATGGAAACCATTAGGAATCTGCATGACTAACTCCCCCCAAAAAGGGGAAAGACCATGCTATCCTGATTTTAAAATTTTCTGCTGTATTAACATTTTTTTGTTGTTGAAAGTGTTAAATCTTTAAGAAAAAATATTTTCTTTTTATATTCTCTCTGGTAGAATATATTTGATTCAATTTCTCATCTCAAAGTTAACAATAATAATTAGCATCCAAGCAGAAAAGGTACATACATTTACACTTTTTTTTTCATGTATAAATTGATAATACGACAACCACAACATCCTAATAAAAATAACCAAATACAAGGACCAACACAATTAAGGGTAGCGATTCCATTTTGATTTAACTCTAATTCATCACAGTAATCAACCATTCCGGGARTCAGGTATTACAGGGGCAAGGCCATCATAAATCTGACTTACCTATGCTAGGTGGACTGCCATAATTGACGGGTGACTCTGGAGGCCTCCCACAATGTAATGCCGCAAGAGCCGACCCTTTCCACACAACGTGTTTGCAACCTGTTGTAGAAGAGTCGCACAAAAACCATAAGCCATTTTATTGCACCAGAAAAACGCAGAAAAGGCATCAACAAAAAAATCAAAGACTCTCAAAAATCTCATGAAATTTTCATACTTTTGTTTGTACGAAGCAAAGACTGTCTGCCAGCTCCTAATAACGTCTGCACTCCAGGGACGCTTTGGGGAATTTCTTGCTCTAGAAGCGGTCCTAGGCGATGGCATATTTGAAGCAGGTGGTCGGGTGCCAAGTGTCTATAGTATTTCACCTATTATATGAAAAAGCAGACAAAGCATTTAATAATGAAAAASAAACATTTCTGAAGAATTAGTTAGATCTTTTTCCAGTTTGCTAAACAAATTCTTAAAAAAAAAAAGAAGTATACAAGGCACAAAAAACAGCTAATGGCCTTAAGTACAGTAACTCTTTCCAGCTGGTCCTAATTAACCATTCACAGTACGCTACTAGTACAGAGAGCTGCTGGCATTTACTATATTGTGCATTTAAAGCAGAGCTAGCCACAAAATACTAAGCTGCTTTATAACAGAGGGGAAAATAAAAAAAAAAAAAAAAAAAAAAAAAATCAATTTTATTCTTCTGTTTTTTTTGGCCAATTTAAATTGAGACAAGGAATACAGGGACAGCAATACATACATGTTTCTTGAAAGATTCACACATACCATATAAGTAACACCATTTTAGAGAAGAGTCACTCTTCACATAAAAAAAACATTCTTCCTTGACTCACCTAAGTTATGAGGCCTGACAAGGTCTCCACAACTGGAATCTTTACAATKGCTACATGTTCCTCCAACACTGGAAGCATGAATTTGTACCAATAAGGGAAACCTTTTCCGACCAGATTTTGTTCACTACAGTTGTCAGCTGCATAGGCCTAAAATAAGCTGCTATCATCATTATCAACAGAACTTCTCATTATCACTTGATTGTAACGTGGTCTAACAAGGACTACTGCTTGCCCATACAAAGCTGAGTTCACGAGTTCCTCTGAACTATCAAAATTATATATTAGAATTATCACCATTTGGAACCAAAGAGCTTTAAAATACATGCATGTGACCACAGTAAAATCCTTCAATTAAGAAGTATTTAAAATATGTAARTTGATATTACTAGCTAACAGAATAAGAAATATTTAAAGGAATAAAACTATTAGGGATGATAGAAATTCAGTTTCTCAGTTTAGTGCAAGATTTGGCATGTAGCAGTTTAGTCCTTTTTTCCAGTCAGAAATTTGTCCAAACAGCTTTGTTTTGCAGCAAATAAATATTACAGTAAAAGCTTGTGATGTTTTATTTTTTCAGCAACTGCTGAAAGCCATGATGAACATTTTAAGAAGACTGATGTTTCTGCACTACCCACAATTAACAGAAACGTACCTTAGTCTTCATCAAACGCGCTTCTATCTTGCTGACACAAAGTAATCGCTTCATGTATTCTAGCAATTTGATAGCATAAAAAGTGCTGATGTCTGAAGCTGAGGCTTTGGGAAATCCTTGCTTATACTCGAGGGAGTTTTTCCTCCTACCGTGTCAAACTTTTAGAGGAGAACGTTCATTTTCTGCTACTATCCTTCCATTACACTACCTTCACAGGTGGCCTAAATCTGACTGTGTAGCAACCAAATGACTTCATCACATAATGTAAACAAAGAACAAGGCTCTTTGATGAAAAGCTCAAGATATTATTTTAGTAATAATTAAAATGTACTGCTAATTCTGCAGGTGTGTATGTTTGATAACATCAAACTTACTTGATTAGAAGAGTGGCAAAAAAATAAACCACCAAGCTTGGAACTTGCCAGCCCAATTCATTTTTCATACACATAASATCCAAATAAAACAGGCACCTTTACATCTACTCAGAGCGGGAGGAACCACAGCCAAAAGCAGGGCTCAGTGCTCCCCCCAACAAGAGCAGAGCAGACATAAGAGTGAGGAAGCCACACACAGCTCCTGTCACCAACAACCCTCATCCACTTCCACTGCTTTTATTCTCTTTCAGTCCTATTCGAAGTATCCAACACTYARGAAGCCCTGCTCTCCGTAAGGTTTYTTCTGAAACAATTTATGTGGAATCAAACTTCTCTATAAGATGAATAATCAGGGATGCTGTAGTTTAACCACATATATTAAAACAACTTATGCAATTGTTAAGTGCAATTTTATCCTGCTCAACACCCTTCAATTTTATACATATCCACAAAGCAYAAAATCTGAAGAAAACAAAGCAAATCAGCTTTGACACATTCCAAATCTACAATTAGCTGACATCTTGAGTCATGCGTCTCATGATTTGTCATAAGCCATATGGGTTCACTTTTTCTGCTCTTGTTCAACATTTGTTTTGCTTTTTCTGAGCTTTTTAATAGAAGCAGCATGAACAAGGCAGGCTCAATGCCACAAGCAACTTTTAAAGCAAGTGTTTTCAAGCAAGTTTTAAAGTCAGATCTGTTTTGCTCTTGATCTCACCTATGAAGAGCCTTATCTTAGCATATACCTTACAACCAAAACCAAACTGTAACATGGGTTAAGACACTTTATACAAGAACTGTCAAATTAAACAGTAGTTCTGTGACGCTTCTGAACAGAAAATTTCAGTCATCGTCATTTGCTACCAAACAGTATTTACATCCAACTCATTAAGAAAATGATTCAACAATACTCAGCAAGTTGTACTCTAAAATGTGTGTGTACATATATATATATACACACACACACATATAAAATATATATACACACACACACTCCTTTGAGTGACATTCACTGTGTACAGACTTGTTACATCCATGAAGTTCATACCATTTCAGGCAGGATATACAGATATCAACTTTATCAACTTCAGTCTCTCAACTATCAACTTAGTCTATCAACTTAGTCTCTCTTTTACCTAAATGTTATGACTAATACATAAAAAAAAAAATTAAAAAGCGAGAAAAARAAGTGTGCCACATTTCACTGTAAAATCTGTCAGACAAAAATCTCTTATTATAGGTTTATTTGGTCTTGCTTTTCTTCCACAAGGAATAAAAAATAGGGGAAGATACTTAATAACCTATTTTAAAGAAATACAGACTTTTTCCTTTTAAGAATTTCTAAAAATACTTCCTTCTTCAAGAAACAAAATTCTTTTAACAATACTGTCTTGTATGTGTGACCTCAAACTTTYGGCATTAGTGTAGAAGTAACAAATTAAAAGATGTATGTAATTTCACCTCAGTCTTGGCATCCTTCCCTTTTGAAAAAGGATATATAAATATATATATAAATAATAAAACAAGAATAGGTCAGCAACAAGCTATGAGAGGATGAGATAGGAAAGTTTTCATAGCAAACAAGCTAACTGAAGGCTAAAATTACTGAAACTTAAAGAAAAAGAAAAGCATAAGAACAAAAGAAGTTAGTATRAAAGCTCATGCTAATTGTTTTAGGAATTAATGGAAAATATATTTGGGATACGCATGTTTCAGAAAGAAACAAAGACCTTAGGCAAACTGCAAAAGAAGCTTTACATACACACATGTATATATACACACGCATATATACACACACATGCACACCTCTCAATCTGTCCACGCCTCTTATACAAATAAACAGTCAAAAGTACCTTTCAAGTCAAGTGACAGGGAAGAAATCCAATTATTGTTTTAAAGAGAGACATTACAAGCTTTTCCAGATGCACAAAAGCCCATGACAAGCCAAACAGGATGAGGGAAATATGTCTTATTATCAAACACTGATCCCAAGAGGAGAAAGTGAAAGTGGAAGGAAAACCACATCCATGCAAGTCTTGAAAACTCTATAGCTCTAAATACGAAGTGAAAACTGAACTCTTCCAAACTTTTACACCACATTTTTAACATCAAAACAGCCCTGCCCTTTTCCCACAAGTCCCCCAGATGAAATACTAGACAGTTTCTTTCTCCCTACTAGGTTTTGTGTAGCAACCAACTCTGTTCCAGTCTCCCAAGAGGACTGCAGAGATGATCTTTCAGGAATGTAGCACCAAGCTCACGTGCTATCAGCTTGCAAAAGCCATTCCCCATAGAAAAGCTATAGTTATAGTCATATAAACATAACTTTATTATTGTAAGTCAAATTGAGAATCCAAATGAGCAAGAACAGCAACACTGATAGGAGGTACAAAGCTTTCACAGGCTAAGCACAAATATTTTCTAGGAAAGTAAGAACAGATATTAGGCTCAACTTCACCTGTCCAGGATGAATAGCATAGGAATACACAAAATACAGCTGCAAGAGCTATTTGGACTAACGTTCAAATCTCTGTTACTTTGGGAATAGACCTAAATGTTTGTATTTTCATTCTTCATCACTCTGCCAAACAATTTAACATCAGAGTCACAATGAATGATTCAATGGGATCATCCTTTGACATGGACTCTCTTTAAGTTCATAATACATACTTCAGACACACTGCCCTAAGCAAGCCACATACTGAAATATTCTCAAAGAYAGTGTATTTTTTCATGCTAATAGTTAGCATGCTTAACTACAAGTTCAATCCTAAATAGCTTTCAAAAAATATATACACACACAAAAATATACATACACATGTATATATACCCATGGTATTAAAGTATGTTGAAATAAAGGTGGCTGACTGACAAGAGCTCACTTTTATACGAGTTCAGTTTTATTACTACCAGCATCCATCCATGCTGCAACTATTCCACTATATAAAACATATTAAGCAAAACAAACTCCAAATTGAATTACAACAAGTGTTGTACTATATCAGCCCATCAATCTAACTGAGTATCCTGTACCACATTCTAATTGCTTTAAAATTAGGAACTCCAATAATGTGCAATGACTTTTCTCTGAAACATTCTCCATCTCTTTTCTTAAGGGGAAAAGGAGGCAGCAGAAGAGAATTAACTGTTTTCCCAGAAGCATTCTTATTCCTAAAGTATTTTCCAATTATGCATGAGCTAAAATGATATGGATATTTATCCACTACATACCACAGAAATGCCCACTRATGTAAGATTACTTTTCCTCTAATGAAACAGACCTATATGAAATGAGCTGTCCCAAGAACATACAACCCACTTTTCAACTATTCAGTGCTTTTAAGGAAGAGGGAGTGGATAACAAAAACAGTCTTAACATAAGCAGACTGCTACAAGCTTTGTACTTAATGTTGTGAATGGTTAGAACATTTTCAGCCTTGTGGACTTACCTATGCATATTTGCACCTATTTGCCTGTCTTAAAAATAAA